GAGATATAAGTTGGATGTCATCGGCGTAGCAGTGAAATTGAAGGTTGTGGCCAATTATTTTTGCCAAGGAGGAGCATGTAGAGGATGAAGAGGAGGGGGCCAAGCACCGAACCCTGGGGGACACCTTGGGACAGAGGAGCAGTGGAGGAGGTTGCAGTTGTTGATGTTGATAAACTGATGTCTGTCGGTTGAGGTAGGATTTCAGCCAGTAGAGTGCAGTGTCGGTGATGTTGAGTGATGATTCGAGGAGGGACAGCAGGATGGCGTGGTTGATGGTGTCGAATGCTGCGGTGAGGTCGAGGAGGATGAGGATGTTAAGGTTGCCGGAGTCAGAGGAGAGGAGGAGGTCGTTTTAGATGATGCCTAAGGGAATTTAAGGGTGGGACCAGGTGGATATTCTCTCTCTACTATAGAGTGAGACTGTAAGCTGTGTTCTGGGTGCAGAACGTCTCTATGCTCTGAGGATGAATGAAGTAGCTCTGTTCCTAATTTGGGATCAATTTAACTTGTATATAGAGTGCCACAGCCTAAAACCCGGAAGTAAACTCCTTCCGGTTCCTTCGACAAAAAAGCAATGCAATTTCTCCATAGGGTTTAGGAAAATAGCTGGAAATAAGGTCTGTGGTTGAGACACATTTAAGAGACGGATCACGTTTTGTTCAGCCGGATAATCTCCACATGTCTATCCTACTTTCATCATTTTATAATCATAAATCTAGTCGCCAGAAGCAAAATGCTAACGTTATGCTATGAACTACAGCAGGGTCGCTGCTTCAACGTCACGCCAACTTAAGATCCATATTCAACACACAGATTCAAATGGTTCAAGTTGAAGTGTTTGTTTGAACAGTCTGCAGGAGACAGGGACTTGCTTTCAAGCAGAACAGACTTAGAGGAGTGTTTACGTGTTCGGCGTAATGACGTACAACGGCCTGGACAACTTCTGTAGTCCTGTTCAGCCACTTGTTAACAACCATCGTTTTTCAGACACGTCAACTCTTCAGAAATCACCAGCGGGGTCCACTTGCTGATGGATTTAATGTTCGTAGAACAAAACGTGATCCGTCTCTTTCAATGCGTCTCAACCACAGACCTTATTTCCAGATATTCTCCAAACCCTATGGAGAAATCTCATTGCTTTTTGTCGAAGGAACCGGAAGTGGTGAAATGCAAACTCACTTCCGGGTTTTAGGACTCGTCACTGCGACACTCCATTGACTTTCTTTATTACTTTATTAAATATAACAAAAGACAAACTTTGTCCATGAATCAGTTTCTCTTAAGAATTTCCTCCAGAAACACAGATTGTGTGAGTCGGAAATTAAAACTCCCAGCAATGGACGGGGAGGAAATGATTGTGTACGTGATGTTCACCTCTAGCAGCATGGGCCCCAGGGCACTCTTTCTCCACCAGACCCTGACTACTGGAGGAGATGGTCGCTCTTCTGCACCTCATCATCTGGAGACAGAAGGGCTGCTTTCTCTGTCAGGGGGAAGGAAACACACGTTAGGAAACTGAATACACAGACATGGAAACTTCCTGTAATATCACTACTTACTTACACCCCCCCCCCCCCCCCCCCACGAAAAAAGCGATTTATAACATGTCGGAGAGTTTAGCAAGTTTAGGAAACAAAATCGAAGTCGATGAGAAGCTGAGGTCGGCTTTAACTGACAAGCTATCAAAATAAGAACATTCATGAGAACCAATATGTTGAACAAATCTTAAATAATTATTAACAAACTAATCAGCACAGCTACAAAAAGTGTCAGTCAACGAAAACAGCAATCTGTTTCGATGATTAGAATAGGGAGGGATGAAACCCTCTTTAATGGTCACACACGCAGAGCACACACAGTGACATGTGTTCTCTGCTTTTAACCCATCCTAGTACCAGGAGTCTAGTCTAGGAGCAGTAGGCAGCTAGTGCACAGCGCCCGGGGAGCAATGGGAGTGTCCGGTGCCTTGCTCAAGGGCACCACGGCAGGAGGTAAACTGGGACCTCTCCAAGTAGCAGTCCACACTCCATATTTAAGTCTGTTCGGGGACTTGAACCGGTGACCCTACGGCTCCCAGTCCAAGCCCCTACTGACTGAGCCACTGCCGGATAATATTACATCAATACCAATTTTATTTCAGTACAATTCACCAGTTTCTCAAAAAGTGTGTGAATAGGGCGCATGGACTTGTGAGCAATCAATAATTAAACCTCACATTAGGCATAACGTTTATTTATTAAAAAACAGTTCAATCCTCTGAGAATCAATAAGGAAGTGTTTTATATTTTGGCTATTTCAAAAAGAGATATACTTTCAAAACATGAATTTTAGAAAATCAGATGTGAGATTTGAATCAGATATTGTCTCTAGTGGAGGTGAGAAGTGTTTACTCGTAAAAAAACCTTCTCTTTAATATTATATTTTCCTATTTAAATGAATATAACGTCATTAATATACACTTTTATTACAAGTGTACGTGTGGTGTGTATCTGGGTGTCTGGTCCTCCACCCCAGCGCACGCCGCTCATCAGCTGGATTTGGTCCACGGTGCTCTGAGGATGTGGCACTTGTCGGGCTTGGCGCTGAGGCTGGCAATGTCGCTCATGTTTAGACGACAGCAGCTCCGCCCAGCTCCTCGATTTTAGCGACACTCCAACTCCCGCCTCCGCTTCTCACGCTGCGGAGATAACAACACACACACACACACCACACACACACACACAACACACCACACACACACCACACACACACACACACACACACACACACACACACACACACACACACACACACACACACACACACACACACACACACACACAACACACACCCACACACACACACACACTACACACACCACACACACACACACACACACACACACACACCACACACACACACACACACACACACACACACACACACACACACACACACACACACACGTGAGCTTCACACACGCAATGCGTTGCATAGTGACATCAATATATGTAACACTATTGGCTAGCTCTCCAACACATTGTGCTTGATATACTAAGAGGCTAATCTCTAAGTGGTTGACCAATCACAACAGAGCCGGCCAGCTAACCAATCAGAGCTGACTGGACTCTGGTTTCAGACAGAGGGTGAAAAGAGGTGCTGCAGCACAGACAGTATGAGAAAAATAAAGAGCTTTTTGAACATTAAAGCATGGAGACATGTAGAGACACTACATACTGATATACGCCTGAACATCAGCAGGAGAGGACTCTTTAAAGTAGAGACACTACATACTGATATACGTCCTGAACATCAGCAGGAGAGGACTCTTTAAAGTAGAGACACTACATACTGATATACACCTGAACATCAGCAGGAGAGGACTCTTTAAAGTAGAGACACTACATACTGATATACACCTGAACATCAGCAGGAGAGGACTCTTAAAGTAGAGACACCACATACTGATTATACACCTGAACATCAGCAGGAGAGGACTCTTTAAAGCAGAGACACTACATACTGATATACACCTGAACATCAGCAGGAGAGGACTCTTTAAAGTAGAGACACTACATACTGATATACACCTGAACATCAGCAGGAGAGGACTCTTTAAAGTAGAGACACTACATACTGATATACACCTGAACATCAGCAGGAGAGGACTCTTTAAAGTAGAGACACTACATACTGATATACACCTGAACATCAGCAGGAGAGGAACTCTTTAAAGTAGAGACACCACATACTGATATACACCTGAACATCAGCAGGAGAGGACTCTTTAAAGTAGAGACACTACATACTGATATACACCTGAACATCAGCAGGAGAGGACTCTTTAAAGCAGAGACACTACATACTGATATACACCTGAACATCAGCAGGAGAGGACTCTTTAAAGCAGAGACACTACATACTGATATACACCTGAACATCAGCAGGAGAGGACTCTTTAAAGTAGAGACACTACATACTGATATACACCTGAACATCAGCAGGAAAGGACTCTTTAAAGTAGAGACACTACATGCTGATATACACCTGAACATCAGCAGGAGAGGACTCTTTAAAGTAGAGACACTACATACTGATATACACCTGAACATCAGCAGGAGAGGACTCTTTAAAGTAGAGACACTACATACTGATATACACCTGAACATCAGCAGGAGAGGACTCTTTAAAGTAGAGACACTACGTACTGATATACACCTGAACATCAGCAGGAGAGGACTCTTTAAAGTAGAGACACTACGTACTGATATGAAGCTGAAAATGAGCAGAATAGGGCCCCTTTAACTTTAAGTTCTTTAACGTCAACCAAAATAAATCAAAGATTAAACATTTGAACATCTGATCACAACAGTTTGTTACTTTTTTCAAACAACAGGTAGTTTAAATCACCAGAGTTGGAAACTTTAACATTACAATGTGCTGAAAAAGTGCGGTGGTTTTTCAGCCAGCTGCCTGTTATGTGTTTCTGAAATATGTAAACAAGAGACAGAACATAAAGAAATCTGCAGTTGATTTTAGTCAGACTCCTTCTTACGAGAAGTCTTTCAGAGTCCGAGCTACAGTAAGGTATGTGGTAAACATGAGAAACAGGAATGTGTGTATGGGAGTGTGTGTGTGTGTGTGTGTGTGTGTGTGTGTGTGTGTGTGTGGTGTGTGTGTGTGTGTGTGTGTGTGTGTGTGTGCGACGACAACAGCAAAAGTAGGTCAGTGCATTGGTCGGCCAGAACACACAGGCTTGTGAATGCGCAGGTCTGAAGCTGTGTGTGTTTGCTGCAGAAATGCTAGCTGGACTGTTACATCTCTCACACACACACACACACACACACACACACACACACACACACACACACACACACAACGAGCGGGATCTGATACTCTGATACTTGTTGTTTTGTAGCTTGTGCCTGGTTGTGTAACGCTGGTAATATAACGCTCCACACAGAACAGAAACACATGTAGGTACCTTTCCCCCGACGTGTCGCATGGCGAGCCCTTCCTCTTGCGTGACTCTGACGCGGCAGGGTCCAGGGGGTTTTCCCCGACTGCACTCATTTTCAGCTTTAACTGACCTGTAGAGGAGGAACACGTGGAAATGAGAGGAAAGGTCAATAACAGAAGGAGTGCACCATAAAAAACACACTTTCTTTAATGTTATCAGGTAGTTGTGTAGCTTTTACTAAAACCTGCAAACACTCGTGCTAAGTGGCAACTAGAGCCAACAAACTCCAGTAATATAAAGTTATTAATATCTGGATATCTTGGTTTGCACACACAATTAGCTTTTACTGACGTACATACGATTATAATATTTGTAATACATTTTAGGAACACATGGCAAAGAGAGGAAAGGTCAATAACAGAAAGTGTGCACCGTAAACAGGACAGGACAGGTTCTCAAGCTTTTTTCTATAATGTTCCCCCTTTGAAAAACAAATTCAGCCAAGTACCCCCTGATCAGCGCAAAAACTATTTGTTAGGGAAAATGCCTATATAAAGAGGGACAGCACAGTGCTGCACCATCAGTCTGATTCATTAAAACAGCAACATTGTAACTGAGAAACACTTAAATGCTACATTTCAAATGTTTACAATCCATCACTAAATTCATGGCAAACCAATTTTAACATCATGCAATAACACTGAGACGACATTAGTTGCATTGAACTTATCTTTTTAATAAGTTGTACAATTTAGTGAAACATGGGCTTGTGCTTCACTGAGGATCTTTGTTATTCTGACAGGAAGGCAACTGCAGTTATTACACAAACCCACACTGCTCAAACTTTGTAACTTTTCCTAAAATTGGTAGATTTATTTATTTAGGGGCGTTTATTTATTTTGAAGAGAAAAAAAGATATGAGCATTTTATGAGCATGGGATTTTGACCCCTCATATAAACATATGCATAATGCTATACTTTGCGGCCACACGCCGTTGCCAAGCAACGCTTATGGTTTAGGTCCTTTGATAAGCAGGCAGGCATATAATTAACTAGAACTAGCTAGATCTGATAGATTTGGACATACACGCAAGAGAGAGATCAGATCAGCTGCTGCTGACGGACCGTTGAGTGGAGCAGAATACTAAGAGTTAGACCTAACACACTTAGCTAGTTTATCTACTCTGGAACTAGCTAAACTAGTTATAAATATGTGTATTCTTTACTGTCGGGTCACTTATTACAGGTTCAGCGAGCTGCACGAGACTGACCGGCTGTCAGGAGAGGGGGAGGAAAAGAGAGCACCCTATTTATTTTCCCATGTTATTATCCAGAATTTCTGTAAACCTTTGAATAAAGTAGTTCATCTGCTATTAGTAGTTTAAATGCATTACTTATGTTTTTTTTTTCATTAAGATAAAATAAATCTCACGTACCCCCTGCAGTACTCCAACGTACCCCTAGGGGTCCGCGTACCCCCTGCAGTACTCCAACGTACCCCTAGGGATCCGCGTACTCCCATTTGAGAACCACTGCCTTAAATGATAGGGTTTGGTTTACACAAACAATTATGCAACAGCTTTCACTGATATACATACAATTATAATCATTGTAATACATTTTATTGTCCGGCACAATGCCTGTGGTGAGGATGACCACATTCACACCTCCAAAAAGGCGTGATAAACTGTTGATTCCAAGGAAAATTATATATTTTGAAATGTGAAAATAGATGAACAAAGACACTTTAGTATTGTATAACTGCAGCAACAAAGAAGCATCGACATAACTAAGAAAAAGGGAAAATTAGTCAAGTAAGATATTATGAAAATGTGTTTTTTTAGGCTTTTAGTGGCCGTTTAAATAAATGAAAAACGTATTTTTTGGAGAAGTACACTAATAACATAATCATTCCTGCAGTACTCATAACCAGTTTGCATTTATACTCTTTTGTGTACAATTTATGATCTATATATTTGTAAAATACATCAATGCATCACTCCTCCCTAAGTTAGCAGAAAAAACATTGTCAAAGAAAGTTAGCATTAAAATGAATATGACATGTTTAATAAATCACAAGTAAAGTGGAATTTGTATTCATGTCAAACCACAGTATTTACTTAACATTACAATAATGTAAATGTATTTATATATGCATAACATTTAAATTAAATTTGGTATGTGGTAGGGATGCTCCGATCAGGGTTTTTGGGGCCGATCACCGGAATCGGCCGATACCGATCACAGGGTGGGTGGGGCTATGGGGATCTTCCATTTAAAGTGTTGTTTTGTGAATTGAGTAGCGGAGTTTCCGTTAGCCGGTAATTACTGGACTATGACGGTAATACATGCTGATGTTTAAAACTCAGTTAATGGGGCTCATTTTTATATTGCTTCAGTTTATAATCGTAACGGATCGAAAAGTTCAGATACATTTTTCAATAAATGATTCCACAAACAACAACATTATTACATTCAAACAAACTACTTATAGTAGGCTAGATGAAGTACATTATTCAAAAGTTACATTAACTTTGGATAATAACAACGGAGAAACAATAATCTCTCTCTCTCTCCCTCTCTCCTGACAGCCCGTCAGTATCTCACGCAGCTCACTGATCCAGTAATGAGTGACCCGACAGTGAAGAATAAACCATTTATAACTAGTTTAATTTCAGAGGTAGATAAAATAGCTAAGTGTGTTAGGTCTAACTCTTAGTGTGTTGCTCCGCTTACCGGTCCGTCACAGCGGGTGGAGCTGCAGGATTTCTGCTTCACACGTTGCATACCGCTATTTTATTGTCTTTTTCGGACACCATAAAATACTGCCAGACCGGTGAAGCCATCTTGGCGAGCTTGTTGTGCCGAGCACAGAGAAAAGTGTCCTGTGTTATACCACGTCATCTGATCGGCTCTCCTGATCGGCCTTTATAGAGAGCACCGATCGAACTATTAAGAGTGAATATCGGCCGATAATGATCGGCGGCCGATGGATCGGAGCATCCCTATTTGGATGCACAGTCAGCAACAACCCTTCTGTTGGTGCTGAATTAACCCTAGAGGTTTATTGAAGGGTGTGGATTGTAGTATTTTATCAAAGCTTCCCTAATATTTTGTATCTTTCCTCCTAATAGACCCGTGCCAGTTATTTATCTTCAAAGACAGCGTGCACCTTTCCTCTTTGTCACTCTCACTGCAATGGGAGGGAAACCATGGAAACAGGAAATGCTGCAACATTTGATGAAGCACACCAGCGATTCATTAAGCCCTAATATTAAAAACCCTTTAAATGGCATCACAAATTGAATTTAGGAGCATCTTACTAAGATGCCAGATGCACACGGAAAGCAGCGAAAAGCAATGTCATGTTTTACAAACTGTAGAGGCTGACAGGTGTTATAACTAACCTGTTTTTGACTAAATTAAATTACTAAATGAATTTTAGGTAGATTAATAACCTGAAATATGTATTCTGTTGAACTGTACACATCAGGATGGTCTTGAGTCTCTTAAAAGGTCACCTCAAGGTTCAAGGTTCTTTATTGTCAAACTAACATAGCTACAGAGTAATTATGTCGTTGAAAATCTTAGGTCACAGGCTTCTCCAACAATGCAACACTATAATACAGATAAGCAGACAATATTAAAACAATATTAAAGCATATTATATTAAAAGTAATACAAAAAGAAAAATAGTTTAAAAAAAAAAGTGAGATAAAAGAAAAGGAAATAAAAGTGGAATAGTGCAATACGAGTCTACATACAAGTTATTGGAATGATATATTAGATAATAGGTAAATAATGACTAAGTAGCAGATGAATGTTATGAAATAGTTTCAGCAGTTCAGGTGTTTAACAGTCTTATTGCCTGCGGGATGAAGCTGTCTCTGAATCTGGTTGTTCTTGTCCGGATGCTGCGGTACCGCCTGCCAGACGGCAGCAGACTGAACAGTTTGTGGCTGGGGTGATGGGGGTCTTTTATAATCCTGAGGGATTTCTTCCTGAGCCGCTGGGAGTAAAGGTCCTCCATGGATGGCAGCTCCGTCCCTTACGATTGAGGGCGGTGCAGCTGCCGTACCAGGTCGTGATGCAGCCAATCAGGATACTCTCTATGGTGCACCTGACTGACTGACCTATTATGCAAAATCCACTTGTTTATGTCTCTTCTACATCAACATGTGTCCCCTCTTCTTCATGTCTCTTCTACATCAACATGTGTCCCCTCTTCTCCATGTCTCTTCTACATCAACAAGTGTCCCCTCTTCTTCATGTCTCTTCTACATCAACATGTGTCCCCTCTTCTTCATGTCTCTTCTACATCAACATGTGTCCCCTCTTCTTCATGTCTCTTCTACATCATGTGTCCCCTCTTCCTCATGTTTCTTCTACATCAACATGTGTCCCCTCTTCTTCATGTCTCCTCTACATCAACATGTGTCCCCTCTTCTTCATGTCTCTTCTACATCAACATGTGTCCCCTCTTCTTCATGTCTCTTCTACATCAACATGTGTCCCCTCTTCTTCACGTCTCTTCTACATCAACATGTGTCCCCTCTTCTTCACGTCTCTTCTACATCAACATGTGTCCCCTCTTCTTCATGTCTCTTCTACATCAACATGTGTCCCCTCTTCTTCATGTCTCTTCTACATCAACATGTGTCTCCTCTTCTTCATGTCTCTTCTACATCAACATGTGTCCCCTCTTCTTCATGTCTCTTCTACATCAACATGTGTCCCCTCTTCTTCACGTCTCTTCTACATCAACACGTGTCCCCTCTTCTTCATGTCTCTTCTACAACAACACGTGTCCCCTCTTCTTCACGTCTCTTCTACATCAACACGTGTCCCCTCTTCTTCATGTCTCTCTACATCAACACGTGTCCCCTCTTCTTCTTGTCTCTTATACATCACCATGTGCCCCCTCTTCTTCATGTCTCTTCTACATCAACACGGGTCCCCTCTTCTTCACGTCTCTTCTACATCAACACGTGTCCCCTTTCTTCATGTCTCTTCTACATCAACATGTGTCCCCTCTTCTTCATGTCTCTTCTACATCAACATGTGTCCCTCTCTTCTTCATGTTCTCTTCTACATCAACATGTGTCCCTCTTCTTCATGTCTCTCTACATC